GATAAATATCCAACACTTTTACCGACACTGAAGTGAATAATTGTTTTAATAGATAGATACCACTCAGAAACCAATATCTATATATATATATATATATATTTATTTATTTATTTTATTTTTATTTTTTTTTTTTTTTTGGTGATTGAATTGTGATAGGCAATGTTGTCTCTTTGGCTGCTTGGAGGCGAATAGTGCTTGTTAATCACTTCCGAACCAGCCAATCAACGCGGTGAAAAGCACTATTCACTCGACGGGTATACACTAGGAAAATACATCACTTCATTCCAAGAAACTGGATGATGTCATTTTATCGACTTAAATGATGTAAAGTACAAATTCATTTAACACATCCAACCAGTATCAGAAATACTTCTAAATGTTAGTTTTAGTTTCTGGTGTCACTTTTTACCCTAAGGCGTTCTAAACACTTCTTACCACTCTTGATTTTAAAGAGGACGTATATTGCTTGACTGGTCATTACCCTATCATGAAGAAGGAAGTGCTAATAAAGGCCCGTTCTCTGACTGTCCATATTGTGAACATTACTTAACTTGCAAGGCACAAGAACGACGCAAGCGTTTATACTGTTTGTTTGTTTCATAAACATTTTATCGCTAGAATGACAATTCATGTTCTTAAAGAGCTAAAAAGAGGCTAGCTTTAAAGCTTTGAACTATATATATTTCCCGTTTTTATTATTATATTTTTTAATTAGAGTGTGTAACAGCAAAACACGCACATAATATTGTTTAAGGAGTCGCCAGATATAGAGGTGCACTATTTTACAGTGATAAATAATGTCACGTCCACATTTGCGTCGTGCTTAGGCAGATTTCTGCGTTCGGGTATCTCTAAATTAAGGCTTCAAACTAATAACAGAAGAGGACGATATTCTGAAAAATAGACTTATTCTCCCAGCTAAGGCACGAATATTTTTGGCGTTCAGTCCGTTAGTCTTTCCACTTCCTGGTAGCCTTAAGTATATGGTGTGAAAAATATTTTCTCGACTATTCAGTCACGATCACCTCGGCCTGAAAACGAAACTTTACGTCAAGGGTCAGAAGAAACATATCTATTTTTGGCGCCGGTTACCTTTGGTCTTCTATATATTTGGTGATTATAATGATATTATTAGGATACTTAGTAACTCTGAGTATGTATTCCGACTTCCGACCTCCAAGAGAAAATGAAGACACGCTATTCTGCAAAGAAATAGATTTCTCCAATCAAGTTCGCTTCTCGTTGCAATTTATTCTGTCAGCTTTCTTTTTCTAAAATTTGGATATCAATAAATGCTAATGATAATTAAGCGTCGATGCCCTTTTTTCCTTTATGTCGTATTTTGATGAGCCCACGTCGGAGACTCGTACGCCGTTGTGCACGGTGCATTTCATATCCTTCGATTTTAGGTACAAGTGATCGATGTTCATATTGTTTTCGAGCCCTCAGAGCCTTCTTTATCGACAGATAAAGTGCTCAATCACGAATTTATTTGAGACACTGACATTCATGAGCGCACTTTCTCAGTGCAATTAACAATATCACGCCCATGTGCTTGTTTGCATCATGGTTTAGCAGATCTCTACTTCTGGGGATCTCTGATTTCAAGAATTCAAAGAGGTCAGTACTGATCAATAGGAGAAGAGGGCGACAATCTAAAAAATAAACCTCTGCCAGCCATCACACTGGTTATCAATCTTTAAGCGTATCGCGGAAAATCAATCTCCTCAACTGATTATGACGACCCACTTCCGCTTAAGTTGTCCAATCGTCAGTTGGTACGCCTTACAACAGTGATACTCTCACGATCGATCACGCCACAAAAATGAACTGTTTCTCTCACATGCATGTTCAGGCCATATACCCTACAATATGCTCATGTTGCACATGTTTATGGGCCTTTAAATCCCATATATAATCTACGAAATACTTTTTAATGATAAATTGAATTAGAAAGAAAGTGTAATACATTATCTTAAAATGTATTGGATTTGTATGGACGCACAGTTGTAAGAAAATGTTAAAGAATGAAAAAAGTTTAAGGTACTCACGCGAGTATAGTTTGCATCTTTTGAGGCGACCGTTCGTTTTTTTTTTTCCCCCCGGTAAAATATTGAGTCATAATGTGAACTCTGTAGTAAACTGTGATTTTCAATATTAGTTAGTTGAATGAAATTTAAGATTAGAGAAAATAAAGGAGTGTCAAAAAAGTTCCCCCTTAATTGAAGCAAGTGTTACCATGCCAAAAGGTGTTCCGTGTTCACACGTTTTGCTGCAAAGAGGAGAAGGAGGGGAAGTGAAAGTGGCAAGCAACTATCAAATATTTCACCAATGAAGTTCTAATCTCGTCGCAGTTTAGTCTGTCAGCCTTCATTTGAGGTGACATGGGCTATTAAAAATTAAATTAAATTAAAATTCAATTCAATTCAATTAAGACATCAATAAATAAGGATGGAATAAATCAGCGTCGATGCCTTTGTTCCTTTATACCGTATTTTTTGAAGAGCCCAAAGAACGTGTAACAATACTCGGTGATTCTTCACACCAAAACTTTTACGAAGGTGTTCATTATCCGACCACTTATTTTAGGTACATTATAATGCAGAGAAAGCAAAGTAAATCGAGAAGCAGTTTGTGACAGGTACTGCGTAACGCTTGCATATCGAATTGCCTTTTTACAGTACAAAATGATCGATTGTAGAAATAACCCGTACAATATCGCGGGATATTTGAACTCGATTCGTGCTTTATTATTACTATAAATAATTCAGGTAAGCCGGATAATAAAATGTTATGGTGATATGGTCACCAGATAAAAAAAATGTCATTGCCTGTACATGTTTCCAAAATGGATGATGTTATAAAAAGACTGATATACAACAGTAAACTAATTCTCTTTACGCACTCACCTTACATTATAAAGCCTTATAAACTATGGTCATTATTTATACAATTCACTCGCCTCTTGAAACCGGTCTGTTCATTGGGAAAAGACAAAGAGAAGAACAACACTTCTAGTTAAACATTTTAATCAGTGTTTTTTTCAATGTTCTAGCTACTGCAAAGGCTCCAGGATGAAAAGGATATTTAGTCATTGACGTACGTATCTGAAGTGTCTTTTTCTGCTGTTAAACTCTATTGTTTATGTAGTGTATGAGGTCATTTTACTGATAGATTAACGCAACTGCAAAGAGATTACTCTGCCATATTTGAATTGCTGTCTCGTCTGTGTTCTATTAGGCGCTCAAAACACTTCTCACAATTGGTACTCTTGATTATGATGCGGAAATATAATGTCTTGATCATTCATTCGATGTGTTCGAAATTTCTTAACTTGTGTGGCGTAAGAACGATGCAAGGCTTGAAAGTGTTTATTCTCCCTGAAATATGCAGCGAAATTATAACAATTCACCTCCCGAAAGAGTTAAATAGAGAGTGATTTTGAACAATTACAGAAAAATCTTTCGCCTGTTTACTATAAAGTGTTTCTAATTTTTTTTTTTTTTTTTTTTACAGGTCCTGATATTCTTGAAATGCTCGGGAGTATTTCGGCCATCATGATATCCAAGTGAACTTAAAATAATCGCCTCCTGGTCTCCTCGCCTCGTGAACAGTCAAATGAAGGAGCCAAACTAAAAGCCCAACCAAGGAAAACAAAAGAAACTTCCACCTTCTTGTAATGCAACACACCTGAGAGCACTTTCTGAAGACATCTATTTGCGCTGGTTTCTCTGAGAAAGTGCCCTAATGAAAGCTATTTTCTCTTTCAAATTCACCATCTTGAAAGTTGAATTTGGCACAAAAATCGTTATCAGATCCAGTCCCTCGCGTTTTTTCTATTAGGTGTCAGGACAAGAATGTAGCGGCGCCTGAACGAAGCCTTAGCAATTTAAATCCATGCACTTAATAGGACTACGAGCTTTTCTTTATAGGTCCTGATACACTTGCAATACTCGGGAATATTTCGGCAACCACAATATTCCAGTGAACTTAAAATAATTGCGTGCTCGCGATAAACTCTATCACGGAACAATCAAATGGAGGAGTCACTAAATAAGAGCGCACTTATTAAGAGTGGCTAATAATATCACGGCCACATTTTCTTCCCAAAAATGTTACATAGAGGATGACTATAAATAAATATAAATATACGTATGGTAGCTTTGTTTTTGAGCAGTTACTGATATGAGTAAAAACCTTTTGCCACCACGTTCAACACAGAGGACCTGCTGAAATGAATGACATATTCTTTTTTTCGCGCAAAAATCTGAGTATAGCTCGCTTGCCTGTTGGGAAGTTTGGTTCCTAGTCTTCCTTGGTTTGAAGACGCTCAATATAAAACGCCTGCGGTATTTTCTGAAGCTATTTTCGGTTGTTATGCCTTATTAAATATGTTTCCATTTTGATCCATACATTTTTAGAGTATGATGCTTTTATGTACTTCTTCACGGCTAATAAACTCTTTGGATAGAAGCAATATTGTATTAACAATAATTGCGTTTTTACTCGAAAGAGACGGTGCAATGAGAATACTCCTTACGTACAGACATGGAAATAGAAATAATATACATATGTATATAATATAGGGGTATATGGCTCGGGCGGTACAAAAGACAGAGGGAACAGTTTTTCCCCATATGGACCGACCTTGGCTGGTGAATAACATTCTTATTTTTTTCTAAAACCTAACAAATGGTTGCGAAACGAACCTGAATGCAGTGAGTGTGCCGGATGGGGAGAATACTGCCCGCTCTCTGAACCAATCACATTGCAGGATTTATAGAATACCGCCCGCTCACAAACTGAGAAAAAAATAAAATGGCCAATATCTTTGTGTTTAGAAGTTTAGCCAGACATGAGTGAAGTTTTCCAGAGGTGTCAATATATTTGACGTCAACAAGGACACCTGCTTATCTATGCGGCGGTTGATATGACATTTTCTCCTGAGTTTGATTGATTTTAAGGCAATAAAGTCACCGTTAAAAGCTAATCAATTGCAAATGAGACAAATAAACAGACTGCTCCTTTTAGTGTCGGTCGGCTTTATCCTAGCCAAGGGATTTGTCCTGCAAGATGGAGAAAACAGTACCGAAATCGAAAAAGGTGTATTTGACTTGAAAGCAGCAGAAGCTGAGAGGTAAGAGAGAGAAATTAGCCCTAAATAATTTTTCTTTTAATCCTACTGCTGCTTATTAGAAGTTCTCCGTGTAGACTGAAGAAACCTTGCACGACTGCAAAGTTCAATTGAAAAATAAATTTCCTTGTCATAGGAAAACTACAGACGATCTTCTTTTTAGGGCTGTCGATAACTTTCACTCGTTTTGACAAAAGGTGAATATTCTCAACTGGTTATCGAAGGATTCTAAGATTGAATGACCCGTGAAAATCGCATATAGCAGAATGTAATATCCTCGTTTTGTTTTTTTTTTGTTTCGTTTTGTTTACATCATTGTTATTTTTTTTTTCTACTTTCTTTCAGTTTTATTGAACAAAGTTCATTAGATGCAGTAAAGGAAGATCGGTATCCACAGGACGGCGACAGCCGCGGCCGTCAACAAAAACAACGATGTAGACGTCAACGCAGAAGTTGTGGCCGTAGAAGTCGTCGGAATGACTAACCGCGAAAAAGGACTGCTCTTTCTTAGAATGTTTAGTTGAGCTCGAAAGGAAAACGATCTAGGGTTTACGCAGGAACAATTAACAATCAAACACTTATGTTTTGATTTTCAATCATTATTTAAAAATAAAGTTGGAATGAGGTATAAGAAAGCGTTAATAAAGCTTTTTGGTATGTAATTGGCAAGGGTTTTGATTAAAATCTGGGTAAAAAATGGTTTAAGACATTTACATTTTTCCTCAGACGTTTAGTAACCAATGCAAACCTTAATTCTCTCTTAACATTTTCGAAACGACTTTTGAAATGATGATTTGATTAAATAATTGTTTCTTCACATCTAAGGACGCAATATTCATCTATTGCAATTACCTGGCATGTTTCTTTTCATATTTGCATGGAAATTGTCCTCTTTGAAAATATTGGATCAGACTTCGATTACATATATACTTTCCTGCTGTAACAGAATTTTTAGGTAAACAAAAGCTAAGATGTTAAACATACAATTACCTTTAAGAAAAAGAGAGGAATTCTTATTGTAAATTTGTTTAGACATATATAGATTCCGGGTCAAAAAACCGCGTTTCACAATAAATTTAAAAGAATATCGTCGTGATATTGGTTGATCTTTCTTTCGCAGAGTCTCCGCGGATATGAGTCGGAGGTTGGTTGTGGGGACTGGAGCGAGCTTAAACCGTGGCAGCTCACGGGCGTGAGAGAAGTTGTTGAATTTGAGCTCGAACTTGTAAACGAAATATGTATGCACATTCATCTCTTTTTATGTAGATTGGCAATCATAGTATTTTTTTATAATAATTAACTTAATTTTCTTAATTTTTTATTTAAAAACCGAAAAAAAGGGGGTTGCAAAGGCAGTTTCTTCGCTACTTGCAAACGCGATAAATCTTACTCGAAAGATCCTTATTTTTTTTGTCGTAAATATTACGTAATTGAATAGAACTTCGTCAAAATCGGTATCTGAGCTTCCTTACACTTTCAAATCTGTCGCCTTTTGGCAATCTCTCCCACAGTGGTTTATTTTTGGTGACATCTTTTTCCGGCATAGTAGGCCTATGAATATTACGGGTGCAGTCGCTGGAAACTCTAGATTCCAATACCTAAAGACTGTATCGAGTTAAACTGCCTTAAAACACCTTTTCAAATAGCCATCACGCTATTGTATGTTTGGTTTGTATGTTGACACTTTAAAGCTCGCTTTATCTTCGTACCCAGATCTCGCGTGGTCAGAAGCGAAGTTTAAGCATCTCAATCAGTTTTTAACCAGAAAGCAGGTATAACTACGTAAAAATAATATCCGTTGCTACTTCCGCACAGTAATTGGTCGAGATGACTATTTTTAAGAACTCTAATAACTTGAGAAAACTATCCTTGGTTATCTTTTGTGCGGATTTATGAACATAAACAACATCCAACACAAAAAAAGCGTTGGATTTTATCACATCTCAACTTTGATACACAATTGTTTACTCAGAGTTCTTGGTCATAACAATGCAAAACAAATGTATCAGATCATTTGTCAATGCTTCGCGAAATCATATCTAGACGGTTACTCGTTCTTTGTTATTTTCCATATCGATCTTTTCTATTATTTTCCTTTTGCTTTTAACAGAATAGCAAAGACTATCAAGGGTGGCCCAGTTTTAAGACTGACGGGAACTTCAGCTACATAAAACTATCCAAGCAATAATGTTCACGATGGAGCAATTTTAAGAAGTTAAATTTTATAGTTCACGAACCGTCCGAGAGAGTACATCAAAGGGGCCTTGATTTGAATGTCAATAAACCACTAAGTTTCGCATTTTTTAAATATAACTTTTTGATCATTATTATACTTCAAAAACTGTTCGGTGGTCTAGTATTTCTTGTCTTGGTTACCGAAATCAAATTGCAGGTTCAAAATAAATTCACAGGAGAAGTCATTGAACAAAATTTTCAATGTCTGACGAAATAGAGGAAGTCGGGGAAGTTTTTCGAGCGCGGTTCATATGCGGTTCGTGCTAATGCATCTTCGGTCCAGCTATTTAATGGTTCTTGCATCATTATTTTCCAAGACATACTTTTCCAAGTGAGAGAAAGACTAAGGTTGATATGGGACAACATGTAGGCGAATAGTACTTGTTAATCACTTTCGATCACTTAAGCCAATCAACGCGCGTGAAAAGCACTCTTCACTCGTGTGGTATATACTAGGATAATATATCACTTCATTCCAAGGAACCGGATGATGTCATGTTATCGACTGAAATGATGTAAAGTACAAATTCATTTAACACATTCAACCAGTATCAGAAAGACTTATATATATATCAGTTCTAGTTTCTGGCGTCACTTTTTACCCTAAAGCGTTCTAAACACTTCTTACCACTCTTGATTTTAAAGCGGACGTATGTTGCTTGACCGGTCATTACCCTAAGCTAATAAAGGCCCGTTCTCTGACTGTCCATATTGTGAACATTACTTAACTTGCAAGACGCAGGAACGAAGCAAGCGTTTCTATTGTTTGTTTCCTAAACATTTTATGGCTAGAATGACAATTCATGTTCTTAAAGAGCTAAAAAGAGGCTAGCTTTAAAGTTTTGAGCCATATATTTCCCCGTGTTTATTATTATATATATTTTTAGTAGAGTATGTAACAGCAAAACACAAACATAATATTATTTAAGGAGTCGCCAGATATGAGTGCACTATTTTACAGTGGTAAATAATGTCACGTCCATATTTGCGTCGTGCTTAGGCAGATTTCTGCATTCGAGTATCTCTAAATCAAACTTATTACAGAAGAGGACGACATTCTGAAAAATAAACTAATTCTCCCAGCCAAGGCACGAATGTTCTTGGCATTCAGTCCGTCAGTCTTTCCACTTCCTGGTAGCCTTAAGCATATGGTGTGAAAAATGTTTCCTCGACTATTCAGTCACGATCACCTCGGCTTGAAAACGAAACTTTACGTCAAGAGTGAGAGGAAACAGATCTATATTTGGCGCCGGTAATATTAGGGTACTTAGTAACTCTGACGACCTCCAAGAGAAAAGGAAGACATGCTATTCTGCAAAGAAACGAAGGAAAAGGGAAGGAAAAATGCATGCGAGACCAACCAAGATTTCTCCAACCAAGTTCGTTTCTGTTTCCAATTTATTCTGTCAGCTTTCTCTTTCTAAAAACGGGATATCAATAAGTGTTAATGATAATTAAGCATCTATGCCCTTTTTTCCTTTGTGTTGAATTTTGATGAGCCCACGTCGGAGACTCGTGCGTCGTGGTGCACAGTGCATTTCATATCTTTCGATAGTAGGTACAAGTGATTGATTTTCATATTGATTTCGAGCTCTAAGAGCCCTCTTTATCAACAGATAAAGTGCTCGATCACGAATTTATTTGAGACGCTGATATTCCTGAGCGCACTTTCTCGCGTTCACGTTTGCATCATGTTTTAGCAGATCTCTACTTCCGAAATCTCTGAATTTCAAGCAAGTGGTCAGCACTGATAAATAAGAGAAGAGGGCGACATTCTGAAAAAATTAACATTTGACAGCCATTACACTTGTTATCAATCTTAAATCGTATCGCGGAAAATTAATCCCCTCAACTTTTCAGTCATTTGGCCTGAATATTGAAGTTTTTTGTCAAGAGTTAAAAAAAGATCTATTTTCGTCTCCGATCGCCTTTGGTAATTTTCTGATGATGACTTCCCACTTCTACTTAAGTTGTCCAATCGTCAGTTGGTACGCCCTACAACAGTGACACTCTCACGATCGATCACACCACAAAAATGAACTGTTTCTCTCAAATGTATGATCAGGCCACATACCTTCCAATATGCTCATCGTTGCACATATTTATTGGCCTTTAAATCCCATATATAATCCCCGAAAAGCTTTTTAATGACAAATTGAATGAGAAAGCAAGTGTAATACATTATCTTAAGATGTATTGGATTTGTATACGCGCAATTGTAAGAAAATATTAAAGAATGAAAAAAGTTTTAGGTACTGACACGAGTATAGTTTGCTTCTTTTGAGGCGGCTGTTCATTTTTTTTCCCCCGGTAAAATATTGAGTTGATGGTGTGAACTCGATAATAATATTCTTTAAAGCCAAATAACCCAGCTAGTCATTCAGTTCAAACCACCACCATTTTGTGACATTACGGTACTGCGCAAACGATACTCGTCGTTATTGGGATAATCCCGATATATCAGCAATATTTGAACAACATTTCAGTTGGAATGATAGATTGGCGATGTATCGCACGGCTATTGTTCCAACAGCCGTTACAAATCGCTGATCCATCGTTAAGCTCCAAGCAAATAATCGTTTTCTCTTAGCGACATATCCAGTTTAAGCCAAACGATATATATCGCTTCAGCTCAACAATAATTTCGCTTCCTCGATATATCGTTTACATCCAACGAGCTATTTATGCCATCCATCATCGCATTTCCCAGAAGACTTGCACTGTCTAAGGTTTATCTAATGCAGGAGAAGTCATCTCTCAAATAAGCATAGTTTTTGGGAATATGATGAATTTACATCGGTTTCGCTAGATGTTTGCCACAAGTTCGCTACACATATGAAACTTCACTACCTCAGCTTACCAAGTTGGCTACCACACAAAGAATGACAAATTCTAAGAGAGACTATTTCAACATTACTGATAGAGCTGACTAGGTTGTTTGTAAAGTTAGGCTATCATAATTCTCCAAATATCATATAGCTTCTCAGAGCCCATTTTTGTTTATTTCATACCGGTTAAAATCAAATTCGATGAGGCTGAAATCTCTTCTCGCCTGTGTGCTTAATTGGTGGTGATAAAATGTGATTTTTAGAGTGAATTTCTACTTTAACTACGGTACCTTAAAGCATCTTCAAATTCCGGTTCAAAGTCATCCAAAGACTTTTTATAGACTGTCGTGTTCTTTTCGTTTCCGTATTCAGTAAAAGTAAATGCTAAAGCGATAGCAAGAGTCGCTCCATACACAGCGATAAGGAGGAAGCTGTTCATGGCGAAGTCCTCCCTGGTACATTTTGTACCCTTTTATAACAAGAATAAGAAGGTGATTTCCGTATTTCGTAATCGTCTTAGAGGAGCCTAATTTATCAAGATATCAAGAGTTTCTTTT